CCGGGAAGTGCACAATGATGGTGCCAACTTGGGCCAGTGAAGCAACGTCCTCCACAACTAGACTGAAGAACAAAACAACAGCAACTTGTCTGTTCCCCATCCCCCAATTCCCCAGCACTGTTCCCATCCCGATTCACCAATAAAAATCTAAAAAAAAAGTATTAGCAAACCAAGTTCAGCATACATTAAAAAGATTATACACCATGATCGGGTGGAATTTATTCCTGGGATGAAAGGTTGTTTCAATATCTGCAAATCAATTAACATGATATGCCACAAAAGCAAAATGAAGCACAAAAATCATATAAATCTAACAGTAGATGTAGTAAAAGCGTTTAACAAATGCTTTCATGATGAAAGTTTATGATAAAAATTCTCAACAAAGTGGGGATAAAGGAAACACACCTCAACATAATAAAGCCATATATGATAAACCCACAGCTAACATACTCAATGGTGAAGATTGGGAACAAGACAAGGATGCCTACTCTCAAAACTTGTATTCAATGTAGTATTAGAAGTCCTAGTCAGAGCAACTAGGCAAGAAAAAGAAATAAGAGGCATCCAAACAGGAAAGGAAGAAGTAAAACTCATTATTTGCATGATATTATATATAGAAACCCTAAAATCTCCACCAAAAAACTGTTAGAACTAATATATGAATTCAGTAAAGCTGGAGAATATAAAATCAATATGCAAAAATATGTTGCATTTCTATACACTAATAACAAACTATTGGAAAGAGAAATTAAGAAACAATTCCATTTATAGTTGCATCAAAAAGAATAAAATACCTAGTAATAAATTTAACCAAGGAGCTGAAAGACCTGTACCCTAATCACTATAAGACATTGATAAAAGAAATTGAAGAAGACACCAATAAATGGAAAGATATCACACTTTCATGGATTTGAAGGATTAATATTATTAAAATGTCCATACTGCCTAAAGCAATCTACAGATTCAATGCAATCCCCATCAAAATTCCAATGGCATTTTTCACAGGACTAGATCAAACAATTCTAAAATTTACATGGAACCACAAAAGACCCCTAATACCCAAAGCAATCTTAAGAAAGAAGAACAAAGTTGGAGGTGTCACGCTCGCTAACTGATACCAGACTATACTATAAGGCTGGAGTAATCAAAACTGCATGGTAGTGGCATGAAAACCAGACACATAAATCTGTGGAACAGAATAGAGATCCCAAAGAGAAGCACATGCTTATGTGGTCAATTAATCTATGACAAAGGAGACAAGAATATACAATAGGGTAAAGACAGCCTCTTCAATAAATGGTGTTGGAAAAACTGGACAGATATATGCAAAAAATGAAACTGGCTTACTTTCTTATACCATATACAAGAATAAACTCTAAATGGATTAAAGACTTAAATGTAAGACCTGAAGCCATACCCCTAGAAGAAAATGTAGGCAGTAAACACTTTGACATAGCTCTTAGCAATATTTTTTTGGCTATGTTTTCTGGGTTAAGGGAAAGAAAAGAAAAATTAAACAAATGGTACTACATCAAACTAAAAGGTTTCTGTACAGTGAAGGAAACCCATCAACAAAATGAAATGACAACCTACTGAATAGAAGAAGATATTCGCTAATGATATGTTTGATAAGGGGTTAATTGCCAAAATATATAAGTAACTCATACAACTTAACACCAAAAAGAAAATATCCAATTAAAAAATGAGGAGAGGACCTGAATAGACATTTCTCCGAAGAAGACATACAGATGGCCAATAGACATGTGAAAAGATGCTCAACATCACTAGTCATCAGGGGAATGCAAATAAAAAGCACAATGAGATATCAACCCAATCTGTCAGAAAAGCCACCATCAATAAATCAGCAAACAAGTGTTGGTGAGGATGTGGAGAAAAGGGAACCCTTTGTGCTGTTTGTGAGTTTGTAAATTGGTGCAGCCACTGTGAAAAAAACAGTATGGAGGGACCTCAAAAAATTAAAATTAGAACTACCTTGTGACCCAGCAGTTCCACTTCTGCATATTTATCTGATGAAATTCAGAACACTAATTTGAAAAGACATGCACCCCTATGTTCATTGCAGCACTATTTACAATAGCCAAATTATGGAAGCAAGCTAAGTCTCCATGGATAGCTAAATGGATAAAGAAGAGGTGGTACATATATGCAATGGAATATTACTCGGCCAAAATAAAGAACAAAATCTTACCATTGTGGCAACATGGATGGACATAAGAGGGTATTGTGCTAAATGAAATAAGTCCGACGGAGTAAGACAAACCATGATTTCACTTATATGTGGAATCTAAAATACAAAATAAGCGAACAAACAAAACAGAAACAAACTCACAGATACAGAGAACAACGTGATGGTTGCCAGATGGGAGGGGGGTTGGGGGGTAGGTTGAAAAAGGTGAAGGGATTAAGAAGTACAAATTGGCAGTTACAAAATAGTCACGTGGATATACAGTATAGGAAGTATAGTCAATAATATTGTATTAACTATGTATAGTGCCAAGTGGGCACTAGACTTACCAGGGGATCACTTTGTCTAATCAGCATGTTGTACACTTGAAACTAATATAATATTGAATGTCAGCTGCAATTGAAAAATTACAAACACAAAAATAAAGAGCAAAATTGGCAAAGCATGAATTATGTAAATATTAAATAGAATGTTGTAATGAGATCAACTTGTACAGTATCTGCAACATGCAGAGAATTCAAATGTTTCGTAAAATACCAATGATCATTCATCTGGTACTCAAAGTAGTAACCCTCTGAGGTATAGCTCCTGCTGTATCCCCATTTGCAGGGAAGGAAAATGAAGCCTAGAGAGACTAAGCAACTTTTTTAAGGTCACACATCTAATAAGTCACAGGACTTATCTTCCTAGCCACTGCCACATTGCTTCTCTTATGCTATACTGAAGGAGAAATGTGAAATCCTGTAATATAAAAACAATCCTGAAAGGGGAATTAAGTATTTAGCTGTAAGCTGTTCAGAAGAAAGGTTGGGATACCATTCCACAGTACACTGTCATCACATTAGTTATTTCAGTGCATTTGTTTTTCATCACATTTTTTACTTTTATATGGCATAATGTAGGTGTTCATTAATATCATTTCATAGATTATATTAACAAAATATAGTCTAAATATTTTTTTGAGAGTTGCTCACACTCTAGAATAAATGGTAGCCACTGGTCACACATTGCTATTTAAATTTCTGAGTAGTTAAAATGAAATAAGGTTAAATATTCAGTTCCTTGGCAGCACTAGCCATATTTAAAGAGCTCGGTAGTCACCTGTGGCTTAAGTTGAGAACATTTCCATTATCATAGAAAGTTGTGTAGAATTTCTCCCATATTGTATGGAACAGCAGGCCCTGGTTATGAAACAGGGGAAGCTGTGGCTTGTTCTGTGGATAGGATGTCAGCAAATGCAGTGGGCTTTTGGGAGTAACATACTCTGTAGTTGCAGCATTGAAGTGTCTTTGTACCTACCTTAGAGGATCTAGCGGTTCATGATGTTTATTTGATATTCGGACCACTGTTTTACTTAGTTGATAAGCTAAGATCAAATGAAGCTAAAAATTGAGAAATTGGATTTTGGGTTAATTCCTCATATCTGGTTTTTTGTTTGTTTGTTTGTTTGTTTTTTGGCTGAGCCTTCCTGCCACCTGTTGGCAGCTCAGCGGCAGCTCAGCTCGGGCCGGGACTTGAACTGCTGTTGCTCAGAGCTCGCACTCTTGAGTGAGTTCTTAATCAACTGAGCCATTCGGCCGGCCCCCTAATTCCTCATATCTATACATTACATATATGAACCATAAAATTATCTATTGTTCTGATTTTGGCACAGTGAAGAAGTAAGCTGTTGGTGTTGCTTGTTTTTGTAGACATGCAGTGATGTCTCTCTATTTCTCTTAGTCTTTCAAAGATTGCTGCCTCAAATTTTACCAAGCAGAGATGGAAGAGCTTGACTTTTTGAAAGCTACAGAGGAGGCCAGAAAACATATAAACACCTGGGTAGCTAACAAGACTGAAGGTGAAAAATACTTTGTTATTCTATTCTAGTAGTATTTTAATCAATCTTTTTGTCAGTTCCTTCACAACAGCAAATGTAAAACAGGAAATGATTTTTCTCTCTAAATAACTGTAAACTTTTAAAGTCCACTTCTGAAATATTGTCAATGTATGATTATTTTCTCTAGTGTTTTCCTATTCTTATCAGTGTATCTGTGATGTCTGTAAATATTCGGTACGCCACTTCCAGAACAATCCACCTTAACTTTTGTTGTTGTTAATGTAGTCTTTCTTTGTTGGGGAATTGGGGAAAGGATTTTTTTTCAATCTTCATTGTGGAGGGCGTCAGTCGCCATCTGGTTTCCCATCGGCAACTTGTGGCCTCCAAGCTCAAGGTGCTGTGTTCAATCTTAGTTGTGGGTGGGCGTAGCCACCATCCCAAGTGGGAGTCGAATCAACAGCCTTGTTGTTAAGAATGCACACTCTATCCACTGAGCCATCCGGGCGGCAGCTCAGGTGCCAAGTTCAGGTCTTAGTTGCAGGTGGGCATTGCCCACCATTGAACAGGCAATCTTGTTGTTACACCAGCTGAGCCATCCTGCCACCTGTTGGCAGCTCAGCAACAGCTCAGCTCAGGTGCAGCGTCACTGGCCCATGTGGGAATCTAACCGGCGGCTCTGTTGCTCAGAGCTCGCGCTCTTAAGCCAACTCTTAACCAACTGAGCCACTCGGCTGGCCCAAACTCTCACCTTTCTTGAGGCACCAAGCATTCCTTTTTGTCTCACTTGTTATGAATTCATCCTGCACAGATTATTTTATTTTACATGTTTTATTCAAGTGATGGTATTTTTCTTACCAGAACTTTTAAAGTTTTTGTTGCTGTGTTGCTGCTGTTGTTTTAAGGACCAATATCCCTTTACAGGTTTATATTTGGAAGGCAGTGAA